AGTAGTAGTAGTAGTAGTAGTAGTAGTAGTCGTAGTAGTCGTAGTAGCAGTAGCAGAACCAGTAGTAGTAGCAGTAGTAGTAGTAGTAGTAGTAGTAGTAGTAGTAGTGGTAGTAGTAGTAGTGGTAGTGGTGGTAGCAGTCGTAGTAGGTTGCTCTTACTAAAGTTGCATTAATCATAGGCAAGTATGAATTTCACTATGCTGCATTATACCGTACGGAGGCTTATCTCATGATATCACTTAGTACCATGTGACATCAAATGTTTTATCACGGGATATACACGAATATGAAAATATGATACAAACCAAGGAAACACCGCGAGATGTAACATGATGAAAGTATATGCAGCAGGAACCATAATGGGATAAGCTATGCAGTAAAATATGTGCAATTTCATACTGTAGTATAGCCGAGAATGCGAGTAGCAGATCAACTGCCACTATACTATCAACTGCTCTGATAGTAATTGTTGTATATAACATTACAGTAGGCATACACCTCGAATCCCAAAACCCGCACTGAGATACAGCTCTCCCAACACGTTACTTGCCTGGGGCATCCCGCTCTTCCACAGTGGCCCGCGAGATCAGCATGGGCAGCAGAGCCGGGGGTGCTCCTGAGAGGCATCCCATGGGCCAGCCAAGCTCAGAAGCTACAGGGTTTAGGGTTTGGGGTTTAGGTAGGCACAATCGAAACCCTGACACGGCCCAAAAGTTGACACCCAGACCCTTCCAACCTCCAAAGCCTAACCCCTGACACCTAAGGCCTAAAGCCCCAAAGAACTAACTCCCGTCCCCCCTTGAAACAAAAAGCAAAACAAGTCAACGATGTTAGTTCGAAGCTCTTCGTCCTCGGCCATTTGCTCCTGTGGAACTCTTCTTTCGGCCCAAGAAAACTCTTCCATTTTCAACCCCCTGTCGACGCCCACTGAAACCTTTTAGGATCCGCTAACAATAGAACCCTTAGGGAGGACAAGCTGTAGAGCAAGATCATTATTGAGCTTAGGGTTTAGAGTTTGTGGTAAACCCCTTAGAGAAAACCAAAAGCTCTAGAACTCTAAACCCTAAATAACCCTCAGAAGGGGCCTGCTGTGTGGGCTTCCTTGTCGTCCCCCGAGGCCCGCGTTGCCGGCATCCGAGCTCCTGTTGTTTCTTGTCTACGGCTTCACGGGCTCAGGGCTTCAGGGGTTTAGGGTTCAGGGTTCAGGGCTTCAGGAGTCCAGGGTTCAGGGCTTCAGGGGTTTAGGGCTTCAGGGGTGTAGGGTTCAGGGCCTCAGGGGTTTAGGGTTCAAGGGTTTATGTTGGGTTAGTCAAGCGATGGGGCTTTGTAAGATGTCATAGAACAGGTTTTGTGGGATGTTGTGGGGTTTTCAAGAGTGTTGAGAGTTTTGTCGGCTGGTGCTACACCCTAAACCCTAAAACCCTAAACCCCTAAACCCCTAAACCCCTAAACCCCTAAACCCCTAAACCCCAAACCCTTGAATGGAATGTAATCACTGTTTTTTAGGCTTTACAGCAAGGGTGCTTGGCGGGTGTTGAAGGCTTCAGGCTTGACTTGTTTCGGACTTCAGGGGTGCAGCTGTAGGGTTGGTTTAGGGTTCAGGGTTTAGGGTTCAGGGTTTAGAGGTTTAGGGTTTAGGGGTTTAGGGGTTTAGGGTTTAGGGTTTTGGGTTTAAGGTTTAGGGTTTAGGAGTGTTTAGTCTGTAAGGTTTCGGTGCTTGGGATTTGGGTGTGGGGAGATCGATACCTTGGGCTCAGAGTTGAACAGCGCATGGGCGCGCGCTGCCTAGCAATTCTCGCCCCTCGCCTTGATTGCGTAATGCAGGGGCCTTAATAATTAGAATATGGTTTTGGGACCCATTCTACTATAGTTATAGTAAGGAGCCCCCAAACTATTATAGGTAATTATTTAGGGACCCCATCTTATAACACTGGGCCAGCAAAGTCACCCCCAGTGGGTGCTTGCAAGATCTTCAGGAACACGCCAGAGAAAGGCAGTGGTTTAGGGCTTAGAGTTTAGGGTTTAGAGTTTAGGGTTTAGGGTTTCGGTTTGCTTGTCACCAAGTAACCGAGAAGTTTGCCCCACGCAAGGTCTAGCAAGACCATCGTCTATGAAGCTCACCCAAACTCCACTATAGGGGCCTTAATAATTTCAATAGGGTTTTGGGTTAGATTATACAATAACTATAATAAGGAGCCCACCCAAAATAGTATAGGTAATTATGAAGGCCCCTACAAGACTGCCATAAGGAACAAAAAGAGCTTGCCGAAAACCGAAACCCCAGACCTTCAAAGCCAGAAAGACCCGAACCAATCCCTAAAAGCCCGAAAGACTTAAACCTGCAACCAGGAAATAGGGTTTAGGGTTTAGGGTTTAGGGTTTAGTGCTTAAGCTTTAGGGTTTGGCCCAAAACTCTAAGCCCTGAGCCCTTCGCCTTACAATCAGGAAATAGGAATCCATAACCAATGAACCCAGACCCGTCCTCCGTGGTTGCCCGCTGCGTCGGCTGGCTCAGCTTTCGTCACCTTGAGGGCTTGCGGGTTGCCTGCTCTCACCTACCACTTGTGACATATTGTTCACTTAGCATATGCTTTGTATTGCTTGCTTTACTTGCATTAATTGCCAACCTGACTACTTAGAAAGTACATACCCATTCATAAATTCATAAATTCATATAATTCGCATGCCACTTACCTGTTGTTGCTACTTTGGTACTATCCCACTATCAGTCCCAAAACCCCAAACCCCAAAGCCTAAACCCTAAGCCCTGCAGGACCCACGGGATCCACTGACCCCGAAGCTGCCTCCGTGTGCGCCGGCTCGCGGACTTTCTTCCTCCGCACGAAACAGCATCGTGGGCTTACGGGGTTTAGGGTGTAGGGTGCAATTTGGGTTTAGGGTTTAGGGGTTTAGGGTTTAGGGGTTTAGGGTTTAGGGTTTAGGGTTTAGGGTGTAGTATAGGGGTCTTAACGAGTAGAATGGGGTTTTGGGGCCCATTATACTATACCATAATTATAATAAGGAACCCCCAACGGGCCCCAAGAAGAAATCAGCATGCCCCTCTGGCCCATGCAGAAGAACACCACCACCAGCACCAACACCAACACGAAAGAAAAACCCAAAGTTTGTGTCGGTGCACCAACGTGCCAAAACTCGAGTGTTAGCACATGCCTGCCCCGAATTTGCTCCAGCCCGCGCGGCGGCAGACGCCCGTGCTGCCAACAACAACAATAACCACAACCACAACCAAAACCACAACCACAACCACAACCACGACGAC